GTGCAGGGCAAGACGACTTCTCGGCCATCAGGGACCAGTACTACAGGACGGGCGATGGCTTCCTGTGCGTGTACTCCATCATCCTCCGCAGCAGCTACGACGAGGTCAAGATCTTCCACAGCGCCATCAAGCGCGTCAAGGACAGCGGCAGCCGGATACCCTTTGTCCTCGTCGGCAACAAGGTACCTTGGTGCACCAGACGTGGCCCACGACCGTGATCTTGTCGTGGGCGGTTCTTAACCGCGGCCTTGCCCTTGCGCCGTAGACGGACTTGGAGGACGAGAGGAAGGTGACAAAGGAGGAGGGCGAGGAGTTGGCCAAGCAGCTCAATGCGCAGTTCATGGAGGCCTCGGCGAAGAAGAAGATCAACGTCGAGGAGATGTTCATCAGTGCGTTCCCCAACCCGCGCACACGCACACGCACGCACACGCACGGTGTACACACATTGACACCCTCGCTGATCGTTTGGCCCTTTCCTCGACACAGCGCTTGTGCGCGAGGTGATGCAGGCGAGGAAGGAGGCCGGACCGCCGGTCGAGAAGTCCGATAAGAAGAAAAAGAAGAAGAACTGCAGCCTTGTATAGACGGAGAACACCGCCGCACACCAACAACCAGCGGAAACGAGAGCCAGCGGAAGAAAATGGATGGAGCCGGGGAAGAAGCGAAGAGGAAGAGCGCGCGGCTAGCATAGTGGAGACGCACGACGAAGTCAAGCGTCACCGAGAGCACCGAGGAGGGAAGAGAGAAGAGAAGAGAGAGAAAAGAGGGTAGTGCACCTCGCGGGAGGTGCCCTCGGCACACGGCAGCTTCAACCTCATTTTTTTTTGGTTCGTGAAGGCCTTGTCCCTTTGCGTGCAATACAACAACACACAAGTCCCCACCGCGCGGCCTCGTGTTCGGTGTGTCGGCTGAATGAACGGAATGCAGCGACGAAATGGAAAGCAAACTGTTCGCGTCACACAGATACCGAGACCTCACACGAGGCGTCGAGTCTATCAGCAATACGCGAGACTTGGAGTGCGGCTGTTGTGTCCCGCGGCTGCACGAGAGTACGAGTGCATCTCCTTGCCTTGGGCCGAGGGATGATGATGGAAGAGGAGGATCAGGAGATGGCTTCCTTCGAACATTCTTCTATCTCCTCTTCACATCGGATCGAGGAGGCCAAAATCGCCCCCACCGCTGCCAGCCCCAGCCCAGCGCCGACTTGGCGTGCCTGACTCGCCCTCG